CCACAAAGAGACAGCGACGCTGCTGCTAGACAAGGGCGCCGATGTCAACGCGCAGGGTGGAGGGTACGGCAACGCACTCTACGCGGCTTCAGTTGAAGGCCACAAAGAGATGGCGACGCTGCTGCTAGACAAGGGCGCCGATGTCAACGCGCAGGGTGGACGGTACGGCAACGCACTCTACGCGGCTTCAGTTGGAGGCCACAAAGAGATGGCGACGCTGCTGCTAGACAAGGGCGCCGATGTCAACGCGCAGGGTGGAGAGTACGGCAACGCACTCCAGGCGGCTTCAAGGAACGGTCACAAAGAGATTGTGACGTTGCTGCAGAAATACGGTGCACTTACAGCATCTACGTAGTTTTGCGAGGGCTGGTCGTACGTAGCACTGCAATTAAGGGATCTTCAAATCGTCACGCGCATTGCTGTTAACCTAACACGAAGTGTGCAACATACCTAAAGAAGCATTATTATCCGTTAAACAAGACTTCTTTAAATACATTTCTATTGCGTCTGTTGCTGCATACGCTCCAGATTCGATAGTAGCACAAGAATGCGATGTAGTCCACAAACGCACTCGAGCTTTAATATCTACCTAATATTGCAGAGGAAAACATTACGTATAAGATATATATCGTCAACCAATAAATATATGTTTCCACCCGCTGCTCTCCTCCAAAATTTAGCCTAAGCCGAAGCTATGCCGTCGAAGTCTTTTGCCTAAAACCACTTATCGAAGCATGGATTCTTTGTTTCAAAAACACTCAAATAACCTTCTCCGGGTCGATACGACAGAACAATCATTATAAAAACATGTATTTCTCTGCTATCTGTGCGCCCTCAAATGCCAAATACAGACTGCACATGGCCGTTGGCTTTCGCTGCGCGGCTTCAAAATGACAAAATCGACTCCAGATGTTCCAAGGGATTTTTGGCCAGATAAACAGAACAAAATTGCAATAACAGCTTCAACATGTCTGTTTCGGTATAATTCAAAGCTCGCTGGTTGAATTAGATGTATTTCTCAGGTTTCTGGCTTTCTAGCTTTCTTGAGTCCAGACGTATTTAACTTATAGCTGCCTAGGTTTGTCGCGACATTCCAAAACATATTTACCTCAGCCTCATGTTCTGTGAGCTTGCTGGTCAAATTATACGAATATTCATGTAGCTGCAGCGACGACTCGAATAATTTCGCTCGGGTGTATCTTCAATGTCACAGGGTGGAACACTTATGTGTCTTTCTCGGCTTTCCCGGCTTTCTCAAAATTGACCTGGATGATCTCATGACTGTCTCTGTTCACTCAGCTGTTAATCTCTTCTAGGAGTCTGTTAGGCACAAGTACTTAGAAACAACAATAGTTGAGCTATAGGAGAAACAACTTAATTTTTCTAAAAACATTATAATCTAGAGTGATGCCTAAAATGTTTGTCTGTCGTCTCCCCTGCTTCTTTAGGTCATTCGAGATTGCAATAACGGGCTCTGTCTCGTACTGCTCCAAAATTAAGGCTGTCGAGGGTATGTTCTAAGATCTCTCTGCTCGAATCGTACAAAAATCAAAGTCTGGGCTTATATATAACTGAGGTAATTTTTTTCTAGAACAAACTAAAAAGCCGTACAAATGTATACACATTTTCCCTGATGTCTTCTCTGCTTCTTCGCAAATACTGGAAATTCCTCAAGCACACCTATTTCTGCCGTGTGCCGCTCCAAGAACCCAGAGATTGTGCACGCATGTTCTGGAGTCTTGCTGCTCAAAATCACCCAAAAATCCGCAACATATGTCATTATGACTGGGATTCTCTTTTTGGCTTCTGGGAAATATTAAAAGACTCAGTATACCTACCTTTGTCTGCTCTGTAGACTTCCTCGCTTCTGCAAAAACTATCCAGCGCCTCTACCATGATTGTTTCTGTTCAACTGCTCCAAAGACCAACTCGTCTGGGCTATGTTCTGGGAGGTTTTTGGTCAAAATCCTTCTGTAGCGTACTCAAGTCCCTAAACATCGCTTGCTTCTTTCTATAAGACGTGCTGAGAACGCTATTGTCATAGCCTATAACCCAAGCATCACAGCTAAGACATTATGTCTGACCTGCTTTAAAAATTAGATAGAAGCCTGCAATGTCTGTATTTTTTCTCTGGACAAGTTCCAAAGCTGATAAATTCTAGTAGGATATGAATAAAAATTTGTCGTTCTCACGGTGAATGTCTGGAGTTTCTCCCTTTTCAAATACCACATGCAGTCCCGAATATCTGTTTCTGTTCGCTGTGGCCCAAAACGCTCAGACAATAATGAAATATGTCTCTGAGATTCTTATATATCCCGTTATCGAGATTTTCTTTCTTTGCCTCAATCATCCTTCTGCGGCTGAGCCAAACATCCAAAAAAGCGATAATCTGCTTAACATATTCTCTAAGTCGAACTTTTTTTCTGTAGCCAAGTCCAACCTCAGAACAAGTACTATTTTGTGATTTGTCTTTGTCTAAGGTGTTGGAATCATGATCAGCTATACAATATCGCGATGTATAGTAGTCATTTCCTCTCAAAAACCCGAGCGAAGGAGAAGATGTCTCTGTCTGCATATAGTGCGTATTCAAAAGCAGATCATTGAAACACAATGTCTCTGGAATCTTTCTCCTAGATTCAGTTACTGGCACATTGGTTCTGTGGCTCAAAACTCTATTCTCGCATACAATCAGAAGGCAGAGATGGCAGTCGATGTCTTGCTCTGAGCTTCTCTGACAGGTTTTGATATGGTCACCAGATCTCTGGAGCTTTTTTGCACTCAAAAATCCTTCACAAAGATGCTATTTTTGTTCCTACGTGCTGTTTCTAGTCTAATGCTCCGCCATCTGTATCTATGCCATCAAAAACTTGCTACGTTCTCCTTCATTGAACAATTGCTTCTAAAGTTGAACACTCTTTTCTCTGGAACCATCAAATCGCTAAAGCACACACATGGTGTGTCTGCTATGCCGACTCTGAAAGTTTCTGATAGATTGTATGATGTTTCGGGTATTCATTGGCTACATTCATGACGCTATGAACCATGGTCTTTTGCTCCAAACATATTCTTTCCAATGCCATCAAAACAAGGGACACATCCTCATCTGGTTCATATCTCCGTTTACTGTGCTTAGATGCGTCGAACGTACAATCCAATGCTCCGGGGATTTTCTGGCTATAACTTGCACTCTTCTCAACGCTTGATTCTTCGTTTCGAACTATCTTTCTGGCTCGAATCAGAACAGTTCCATCAACGCCCAAGTCCCCTTCTCGAAAGAAGTCAAAATCTAGTACAGAGGCTCCAGTTCTCGGAATCTCGATTCTCTCTGATAGTCTGATTTGTGGCTTGACCCTTCCTCCGACACTATCAAAAATTGCAAGCGTGACAACTGATGTTTTCTGTCCGCTGCGTTGGCCTCGAAATGTGGAATACTCAATCTGTCGTTGTTTGATACTACTCCATCAGAATCTGCTATTTCTGTCCTGTATACTCTTTCTTTATCAGAGCTCGAAGGATCAATCTTGTTCACATCATTCTATTGAAAACATTCAAATGGCAAGAAGACAGAAGGATGGATGCGTGTAGTCTCTAGGTCTTCTCCGAGAAATACCTCTCTCTGCATCGAATTTAATTGTCTCTGGCAAAATCGAAAAATTCGAGCGCATTCTAATTTCGATATATTCAAGTTTGGTTCAAAACAACGTTCTTCAACTTCTAGGAAAAACTAAAATTCATAAGCGGGTTGCATCAAAAAGGAACCAGAGATAAGCATCTGCGGAATTCGCGTGAATCGAGTCTCGGTGTAAGGTAAACAAACAGAGCAGTGTTGCACAATCTGAAGGGCGGCCGAAGTAGGACAGCTCTGGAAACAATGACTTCAGAAGATGGAAAATACAGACATGAGCAATGGTATAGATGTATCTTGGAAAATAGACAATTCAAGCTAAACGCGAGTGGTGGACTGCGAACCCAGAAAATTAGTTCTGCGTACAACTCGCTAGTGACTGCCTGCATCAGTTGCGTGATGAGCGAGCAATGCAAAGAGAGACCTTGCCGGTAGGCGACCGGTTAACTGCTGTCGGATTGATTTGTGAATATGCATGTATTTACTCAACCGATAAAAAGATATCGGCTGTGCCCACTCATTCGTATCCACATAGACCAAGTTCAACGATGGCCATCAAATCACTGAGCACGGGACTGGCACGTTCCTGCTGAGTTCAGTATGTCGTGATAACCTGGAAGGTGATCGGAGTAGCAATGATGTTCCCCCGCGTTTTGCGTCCAGACTATTGTGCAGCAGCGACTATATTGAGATCCTTGACAGAGGACGAACACACCAAGTGCTTGGCTGTGTTGGGGTCTTTGCCATAGCTTGGTTACTGATAGTCCAGGTTTGACTGATGCGAGTGATGGTGGGTGAAGCAGAGCGGCCAAAGCTCCATGCCCTATAGCTAGCAGAAGCTGTCCCGGCGAATTTACATGCGCTGAAGCATGTATCCTGTGTGCCGCTTTCGGAAAGTACATAGGAAACGTGATGGTTATTTGCAGATACTCCGTAAGTGATTGCTGCGATCAGGATGCTTGTATGAAGCAGGGTTCCAAATAGCGGGGCTTCCAAATAGCGGGGCTTCCAAGCTCGAATTATGGGGTTTCACATTAGCGGCTGGCCCACGTTGACATCGCCGCTTCGCACCTCGCACACAGCATTTTCTTCCATTCTATATATCCATTTGTTTGCCACACTTCTATAAATAACTCAGATCGTTTGGCCGAGGTTAGTATTCCAACTCTGTTCTATCACCGCATCTCCTAACGACTCAACAGTGGTTATGGCGTGTGACTCAAGCGAAAGCTTTCTCCTCTAGGAGAGTCTTCTCATGGGCTTTGCCCGCGAGGGGTAAGTTACCTATATCTTCCAGCTCTTGAAGCACAAAACTAACACACGACAAAGTTCGAATCCCTCAGCGATCAATATTTGGAGTTGCTCCTCTTTTTTCGGCTCAGTGGTCTAGTCGCATGATTGCTGCTTCGGGCTCTTCCGCCCTGGTTCTGAGAACCGTGAATGTAGCAGGTCCCGGGTTCAAATCCCGGCTGAGCCCTCTTTTTGCTGCCTTGTCGCAGTGGGGAGGCGGGGCTGTAGTATGGCCTCCTTTTTGCTCGTGAGGGGTGCGATTATCAAGCATGCGATCTCACCGAGCCGGGCAGCAACTACATCAATTTTTATGGGAGACGTATAGAAAGCAAATACATAGAAGCGCACACTGTCAAGTCCTACGACATATCTATAGCTCATCCTTCCGCAATATCTCTTTGTCATGTCGACTTCGTTAAGTGGCAGCGCCGCGTTCGGCTAGCGTGGCACGTCGCGTCGCGAAAATGGTAGGCACGAACGCGTCGACGCGTGCTTCGATATGTTCTCCACTCCACAGCTCACGAGCACTTTAGCTGCCTCCCCAGCTTATACATTTTCATCGTCACAGCGTATTCCTCTTCAGCCATTATCTACCATATCTCAACACCGCATTACTTGTTATTCCAGCATACACAATGGCTATCGCGCCCGGTCAGCTCCCAGCCGAGCTCCTCAACCTCCTCGCGCTGCACTCGTCCTTCCTTACCGCCCTGTCACTGCACTACGCGCACAATGGCACTTCTACACCGGCAGATCTCCGTGATCTCACAGCATCTATCACACTGGTCTGGAAGCAGCGCCAAGTCACATACGACGACATCCGACTCCTGATGGGCGTCCTCAGCTACGGCCCCGATGGCTCGAACATTCCTTACACTCTCTCCGACTACGGCCGCGGCAAGATCGTCCTCGAGATCAAGGACAGCAGTCCGATGCTTGATGGAATGACAGGTGTCAACGAGCAAGCATTAACAGACATGTTCAAAGAGGGCCTGGACGCTTTGTGGTCACAATGGTGCCAGTCACAGAAGCTGGCCACGCGACCGATTGCAACGCCCAGGAAGGGCCGTGGACGCCCAAGGAAGGCCGACACGAAGCAAGCACTCTTGGAGAACTTCCTCGACGACTCCTCGATGTCCAAGTTCCTCGCTCAGCTTCCCCTCGCCGACATCGAAACCTGCGAGTCACTCAACGCGATCGCACCACTACAAGAGAAGGGCCGCAAGAGGCTGAGGGAATTCAAGGAGAGCGTGCAACAGGGCCGCTCCCAGAAGAAGCGCAATGTTTCCGGCAAGGAGAACGAGCCAGTGGCTTCTCAAACCACCCAAGCGCAGCCCGCGCAGCCCAAGATCACTGAGTTCGCAGCAGTCCGCAAGACCAACCTCCTCGACCGCATCCTCGCAAAGCAAGAAGCAGCAAAGTCTGGGCCCGCTGCGCCGACTGCCGCAGAGCTGCAACGGCGAGCTGCTCTCCAGCGCTCCGAAGAAGTCCTTGGTGTGCTATCGCTTCTCTGCGCCAACCGCCCAGGCATGCGCGTTTCTTTCTCCACAACCACAGTTCTGCAGCAGCTGCGGGGCTCAATACGGAGTCCGATCTCGAAGGAAGAGGCGCTAAAGTGCATTGAAGTTATTGCGAACGAGGTTGCACCAGGGCATGTCTCCATTGTCAACATGGGCTCTATTTCTAGTGTTGTGGTCGTTCCTTCGATGAGGCCGAAAGATGTGAAGAATCGCCTCATCGCACTCGGAGCATGAGCCTTTTGTTGTTTCTTTTATCATCATGTTGTACACTGCATAGCCGGCCTATTGTTGTTTCATAGTCAAGCGTTCAGGCTAGTGTTAGCTGCCATTGCATATGAGCGTTTTAGCATTAGCATAGTAATTCGAATACCCTTTCTTAAGAGCCGATTGTGTCTCCATCTCCGCGTTCTCCGTCTAGCACAGCATTCTGGAAGTCTGTCACGGCTGCGCGGGTCCCAACGATTTGGTGCGACAGCCGGCAGTTACGACATGTTAGATCACAGCTGCAACGCTTGAACGGCCTGCCTTGATGCACCCCGAATGATGATTGAAGCGCGCGTTCTCATAAAGTTGTGAAAACGTGCAAGCTTGTTCTCTTGAAGAAAGCATGGTGTCAGTCATTGAAAGGAGTCTGGTAAAGAAGTGGATTGACAGTGTGCGAAGTTCTAGGGCGGGCCAATTTCTTCCGTAGCGTCCCGGGTGGCCGTGAAAGTCTAGTTATACATGAAGGATGATCCCCACAACATTAGTGCACTGTCACAAATTCTCCGTCACCGCTTTCCATCACGATTCTTTATCACGATTCTCCATCATAACCCTCTGTCACAGCCCTCCGCCACAGCTCTCCCTCACAGCTCTCCCTCACAGCTCTCCCTCACAGCTCTTCCTCACAGCTCTCCCTCACAATCCTCGTAACCCCCTCGCTTCCTTCACAAACATTTTGACTCCATGGAGAAATCGAAATATTAGACTTTCGTCATCAATCTCAGTTCAATAGGGTGAGTAACTTGATGCCCATTCCTGGAGATCCATGATCAATTCTTTTCTCTTTGCAGGAGAGGGGGTGGGTCCCATAGCTTTTGCAAAGCATTATACCTCTGCTGCAACAGAAGTATTTCTGTACGGTTCGTTGAGAGAATCGACAGCATTCATTCCTGACAGCCGTCTCGAACGTGACAACGGAAAGCAGATTCACGGAGTACCCAACGCACGTCAATCACCGCTTGTCAACGTCAATACAGCTAAGCATTGACTTGTTGCACGTCATATGACAGGCAAATACCGGGCACCTGTGGGCGACAGCGCAGTATATATGAATGAAGCTGTGCCCAGCGACCAACTTCATCACCACGCTACTCTCTACTCTCCTCATACACATTTCAACGTTCGAAAGCTGGTCTTTCCTTGCTAGTCAACATACCTTTCTTGAAACTTGAACTACTTCCTACTCTCTCATACATACTTCAACCTTCGAAAGCTGGACTTTCCTTTATAGTCGATTTACCTTTCTCGGAACCCGAACGCAGACCACCGATACCTCAAGATGAAGGCCACCACCGTACTCCTCTTTCTGTCAGCCTCAGTCTCTACAGCCGTTGCCACACCTATCATTCAGCGTGAAGGTACGTCTCTCTACCTCCCTTCTATGATCATCATTAGCATATAGTAGTGCAGCGCAACCACTGATACGTTCCAGCAACCAATTACACTACACCAACAGAAGGACGGACAGTTACCGTCATGAAAGGCGACACGCTGTTCTCCATTCCTGCATATCTTGATCTCGGTGCTTGCGATATCGTAGCGGCAAACAATATTAAAGATCCGAATACCATCGTGGTGGGTACGCTACTGAAGGTACCGGCAGCAACAGAGAAAAAGGACCACGAAAGTTGTATCTCTCAGCCATCGCCTCAACAGAGGGAGAAGGCTGTAGCTCACCCTTGCTCATAGCGGCGTATTGTAATTTATGAACATATTGATTCAACGGAGGCACTGGGTGACGAAAGTCGTATATCCTGAGGGCGAGTCGGTCATCACCTCGGTAGAGGGAGGAGACTGGAGTTTACCTTTGCTTATATCAGGGAATTGTACATTATGAACACATCTATTTGATTGTTTTAATTATCTGTTTTCTGGATTGCTCCGTATATCGAAGTGTGAGAAGAAATATGCATCATCGTGGTTGGAATAAGATGACGTCAACCATACCAGTACAACATCACCCACGGAACCCCATCGAACACATATCTTTCATATCTTTGCATGAAACTACAAACTCGAAACTACGAATCTAACGTCGCCATCAAATCCATCTTCGATCAGGTCCATTCTCAGCATTACCATGGCAGATCAACCCACCCTCAAGCTCCTCGTCAACTACAGCGTAACCGCCTTTCTCCTTAGTACAGGCTTCCTCGCTCTCCTCTCACCCACAACTATGGCTGCTCTTTTCGGCATGCCCATCCAGGATGATACCTTCGCCTCGGGCTTCGTTCAATGCATGGGCGGGCGCAATCTGACATTCGGCCTCATATCGGCTATCTTCGTCGCGAGGGGGGATTTGAAGGCGGCGGCGACGATGGCCACGTTGTTGGCGGTCGATGGGTGCGTGGATGGGTGGGTTACCTGGAGGTATGCGGGAATGGGGGCTGCGTTGCCGCATTTTGGAGCCGCGGCGGTGATTCCTTTCGTGAGTGCTTGGATGGCGAGTTGATGGGTGTCGACTGGTGTCTTAGGCTATCCATACACCCTCCTCTGCTCCTTGCATCGCCAGGCATTCTGTCCCTGCACAATAGTTTTGTGTATATATTTCCCAATTTTGCCCATAAAATTATCAAGTAAAAAGTCACATAGGATAAGCAGGTAGCTGGTGTAGGAGCAACCAGATTGGAAAAAAAAAGTTCTTAGTGATTTCTTGCTTGCCAATACTTCTAGGTTGTACGTTCGAGTATGTGCGTGAATCTTCTTTTTGCATCTGCAAGTGAAGGTAAAGCTCCTCGCATAAACCAGCGTCCGGGGCAGCGGAAGTAGCAGCCGGAGTATTGGATTGCCTACCATTAGATAAAGGAAGGCATGTAGCCACCTTGGACCAAGTCCCTCCAATCGACGTATCTTTTCGCTTTTTCCTCACTCAGAATATCCTGTCGCTTCCACACCGCCTTCACTAAACCCATGATAATGCTGTAATTTCCGATGCGCCTGCTCGATCCACTCGCTTCCATTAGGTTGAGAATGGGTATTCGATCGTTTTCCTGAACACTGCAGGCAATAACAAACAATGGCCACGGACTGCTGCATATTTTCATCTTCCATAATATACTCAAACCAGTGTTGACAAGACTCTGGATGTCTGTAATCGGTAGGAACGTCGAGGGGACTGTTTGGTAGAAGTAGAGCAGTGCGGCGATACGATAGAGCTCAGCTGTAGATGTGATGCGTGTGTTATCGATATTACCAGTGGTCAAAGCAGGTCGAAGTACAAGTTCTTGTTGTAAGTCTATCAGGCGATTTTCCATGAGCGATATCCTGTCAAGGTATGGGCTTGATAATAGATTGACCCAGCCAGCTGAACGCCGCAATCCACAGAGCTGATTGATGCAGCCGATCAGATGGAGAAGCTCCATGGAGCAACCCAGAACACCAACAATCTACCTATAGTTAGCCT